CCTCAGCCCATGGGCATCATGTCCATCCTGGAGGAGGAGTGCATGTTCCCCAAGGCCACCGACATGACTTTCAAGGCCAAGCTGTATGACAACCACCTCGGAAAGTCCAACAACTTCCAGAAGCCACGTAATATCAAGGGGAAGCAGGAAGCCCACTTCTCCCTGATCCATTATGCTGGCACTGTAGACTACAACATCCTGGGCTGGCTGCAAAAGAATAAAGACCCACTTAATGAGACTGTGGTGGGTTTGTATCAGAAGTCTTCCCTCAAGCTGCTCAGTAACCTGTTTGCCAACTATGCCGGGGCAGATGCACGTAAGTTAGGGACTCAGGTCCCAGAGGATAAAGGAATGGGGTTTCTGCATGACTCTATCACCTCCATATCAGATTATGCCCCATGATTTAAAGACTTAAGTGGGGTGGAATTGGGTGGAGAAACTGAAGAACCCACAATGAATACCCTCATCTAAATCCAAATACCTGTGAGACTGAGGAGAGGCTATGATTCTCTACTTCCTTCACCTTCTTACCTTATGTCCTCCAATATACTTTTTATTGACTCTTCTCTTAGCTGTTGATAAGGGCAAAGGCAAGGCCAAGAAAGGCTCATCCTTCCAGACGGTGTCAGCTCTGCATAGGGTGAGTGTGTGCCCCAGCTCCCACCTACCATGGTTCCATGTCTACCCTACTCATTCCTTTTCTTTTCCATCCATGACTCCTCCCACTCTCTGGTCCTGTCTCTTTCTTCCATTTTCCTCGTCTCCTCTCCTCCCCTCTTCTCCCCACCCCTCCCCTCTTCTCTCCTCATCCTTCTCATTCCCTTTATCGCTAGGTCTCTTCTTTCACTTCACATATCACCACTCTTTTCCCTCCAGCCTTTCATCCTACCTCATCTTTGTCGTCCCTCAGCACGCCTTTATTCTCTTTAGCTTCTTGAAGTCTTCTCACCCTTTCTTCCTTACTTGTTCTTCTTCCCTTGCTCCCCTCTTCCACTTTCTTCACTTGAACCTATTGGGTTTTTGCTCACAGGAAAATCTGAACAAGCTGATGACCAACTTGCGTTCCACCCATCCCCACTTCGTGCGTTGCATCATCCCCAATGAGACAAAATCTCCAGGTGAGTCCGAGATCTCAGATCACCACTACCACAGATGCACTGCAATAGGAAAAGTTTTCTACATTGTCTCTTCATGACAATCATGTTGTCTAAATCACGTTCTATTTCTCCCTTCCTTTGTGAGGTATTTCAGACAACTGTGCTCCCCTTAGTGCTGCTTCACACTTGAAATGTATAACTTAGGGTCATGCAGTAGGACTTGATAGACATTACCTCATCAGTGCCTTACAACCCCAGTGAGACAAGAAAGGCAAAAATTGCTACCCTTTTTTAACTGATAAAGAAACAGAGGCTTAGGGGCCAGTTCTGTTTCTGACCAACAGAGGAACGTTAACCAAGTCTCTTAATATCTCTGGACTTAGTTTACTTAGCACAACGAAATGGAATATATTTGTCCTGTTCATTATATATACTACTAAGCACAAACCTTAAAAAAACAAAGAATATGAAAATCATTTGTTTTCTCTTAAAAGTGTTGCTGTATTAATTGCAGCATTACTTACAATAGCAAAGAAGTGGAAACAACCTAAGTGTTCATCTTTGGACAAATTGATAAAAAAACCATAGTAAATTCACATAATGGAGTACTATACAACACTAAAAACAATAAAAAACTCACAAAACACTGCATAACATGAATGTACCTAGAGAACATTATGCCAAGCAAAATAAATCAGTCAGCCAAGGATTATTATGAGATAAGACCACTATTACAAAAAGCTAAGGAAATGTTTACTTACAGATAGAATCATTCTTGGATTAAAAAAAATATATGAATGAATGTATTTGTAATTAAAGTGCTATAAAACAAAATGTATATTAATTGTTTATTGGAAAAACCAATGTGATTTATAAACTGTTACTCAAATTAAAAAGTAATTTTTTTTAAAAAGTGTGTCTATAGGAAAAGAAAATGAAAAAGAGGACATTATGAATTGACTTACTAAGGTTACAGGCTAATAACAGGCAGATCCAGATCAGAATGCAGAACTCTTGGCTCTTGGTTCAGTGTTCTCCCTTCTTCATCTCTGCTTCTCACACCTTCTTCCCCACTTCCTCCTGCTTCAGGAGTGATGGACAACCCCCTGGTCATGCACCAGCTGCGTTGCAATGGTGTGCTGGAGGGCATCCGCATCTGCAGGAAGGGCTTCCCCAACCGCATCCTCTATGGGGACTTCCGACAGAGGTGGGTATGGAGGACCCAGCCCAGGGATAGGGATACGGAATCCTGGGAAGCTTTGATGGGGAAAGGGTCTGCAGGTAGCCTTGAAATTCTAAGGACGGAGTAGGTCAGTTTAGAAAGTGGATGACTCCGGGCACCTCTTTCCCCAGGTATCGCATCCTGAACCCAGCAGCCATTCCTGAGGGGCAGTTTATTGACAGTAGGAAAGGGGCAGAGAAACTGCTAGGCTCTCTGGATATCGATCACAACCAGTACAAGTTTGGCCATACCAAGGTAAGGAAAAAAGGGGACTAATTAAAAGAAGACATCATTGTCCTTTGATGCTTTATTTCTAAACTCCTTTCTTTCTACCCATCATTTTAGGGCAATCTCTAAACCACAAGCCGCTTCTCCCAATGGAGCACCTAATACCTTCCTTCCAATCCTAGATCCTCTACCTCCAGTTCATTCTAGGATGTTACCCTTCCTACAATACCCCTCACCCCCTCTTTTCATGCTTCTTTCTAGTCATGTCTGACGTATACCTTCTCCACAGGTGTTCTTCAAGGCCGGTCTGCTGGGGCTGCTGGAGGAGATGCGGGATGAGAGGCTGAGCCGAATCATCACACGCATCCAAGCCCAGTCTCGGGGTGTGCTCTCCAGAATGGAATTTAAGAAATTGCTGGAACGTAGGTAAAGTCACCTTGAAAGGAGGTTCCTGGTCTCTGAGGCCCTGCATGGTTCAAGAACAGTGTCAGGAGAAAGAGCATACAGAGCCTATAAACAAAGAGACTAGCAGACCGATAGGAACATGAGGAATGTCTCAGAATCAAATCATGGGATAGCTGAAAGAAAACGGTACCTTATCTAGTCAGCGCTGGACAAGGGCCAGGAGGACTCTCACACCACTGCCTCTCGCTGCACCCCTGCAGAGACTCCTTGCTGATAATCCAGTGGAACATTCGAGCCTTCATGGGAGTCAAGAACTGGCCTTGGATGAAGCTCTTCTTCAAGATCAAGCCACTGCTGAAGAGTGCAGAGACGGAGAAGGAGATGGCCACCATGAAGGAGGAATTTGGGCGCATCAAAGAGGCACTGGAGAAATCTGAGGCTCGGCGCAAGGAACTGGAGGAGAAGATGGTATCGCTGCTGCAGGAGAAGAATGACCTGCAGCTCCAAGTTCAGGCGGTGAGGCTCCGGGGGCCCTTGCTGCCTCCTCCATCCTGCCAGCCTACACCTCCCACTCCCTGCACCTCCCCCTAGCGGCTCATGGTCTTGCCCCCTTTACAGACCTGATTCTAAGATCAACACTAGAGAATTAAGTTTTTCAATTTTAGGGTTTTTTAAACTTTATATTGGTTTGCTCACAAAGTTACTATACATTGTTTTACACTATTCTTCATCCATATTGTGCCTCATACGATCATTCCCATGTAATATGTTTTCTAAAAATCAATCTCCATAGGACCTTGCCCATCATTTCACTTTTAAATGCACAGGTTTTATACTTGGGTTCAACCTGTGTTCACAACTTAATAATTCTGTGACTTTGAGTAAACCACACAGTCTATCTGAGCCTTAATTTCCTCATCTCTAAACGGAGAGTAAAGATACTGATTATGCTTAAAACAAAACCAAACCTGTTACCACTGATTTAATTAAAACTTAAAGCAACTAAACATGTTAACAAAACAGAGCTACTCGACAGAGTTTTCTTGACTATAATTAATCTTCACAGAAGCAGATAGCTAAACATGTCTTCTGTGCTGCTGCTGTGAATTTGAACTGTCAACCTTTAGGTTAGTAGTTGTTTCTTGTCCATCTCAGTAGGTCATAGTATGAAAAGCTGTTGGTATCAGCAGGTGTAATTCCCTCTTCACTAGAGGAGACCAGAGGAAGAAGGCGAAACAAATAGACTTCTGGTTCTCTCCTCTGCTCCCTCACTGCTCCCTAAAACCCCTCTGTTCTTATCTTTCTCAGGTGATTCTCAGCTAGTAGTTTCCTAGCATTCCTCTCTTGTGGTTAGTGATGAGCCTCTTCCTCTACCTACTAGGGTAAGAACTCTGCCCACTGAACAGCCTCTTTCTGCATCTTGCCCATAGGAACAAGACAATTTGGCTGATGCAGAAGAGCGCTGTGATCAGCTGATCAAAAATAAGATCCAACTGGAGGCCAAGGTGAAAGAGATGACGGAGAGGCTAGAGGATGAAGAAGAGATGAACGCTGAGCTCACTGCCAAGAAGCGCAAGCTGGAGGATGAATGTTCAGAGCTCAAAAGGGACATTGATGACCTGGAGCTGACACTGGCCAAGGTGGAGAAGGAAAAGCATGCAACAGAGAACAAGGTGAGGTAGCTCATAGTCCCTGGCATTGGAGGTCACCGTACATGTCTCTATGTTGGAGAACTTTAACTCTAATGGAAATGGGGGTTTTGGCCAATAGGTGAAGAACTTGACAGAGGAGATGGCTGGGTTGGATGAAATTATTGTTAAATTGACCAAAGAGAAGAAAGCTCTGCAAGAAGCTCACCAACAGGCTCTGGATGACCTTCAAGCAGAGGAGGACAAGGTTAATACTCTCACCAAGGCCAAGGTCAAGCTGGAGCAGCAAGTGGACGATGTGAGTAGATTGAGAGTCATGGGGCCTTGATATATTTGTGTTCAGATCTTTGTGTGTATATACATGTATGTACATGTACATGTGTTTGAGGGAGGGTATTCCTATCAGTAATACTTTTCTAAAGGAATTTAGAGAGGAGAAAAGGGAAATGATTGATTCTGAGTTGTGCATCTCTATTATAATAATCTGATCAATAATAGAGATACGCTTCCTTATCTTGATTTAGCTTGAGTATCTCTTGCTTCTGATCACAGGATTCAGAGATTTCTGTCTCTTGAGAAAATGATTCCTTTCTTTGAGAATATTGTAAGGCTCTTTTGGATTCCTGAGATATCAGCCATGATCTGATCCTGTGCGACCATTTCACATACAGATAGCCCTTTGTGCATGCCGCTGTGACATCATTTATCACTCTATATTATCACTTACCCATTCAAGTGTCTGTCACAACCATAAGCACCTTCTGGTAGGAACTTCAGTTTTGTATCTGCAGTGCCTTGCACAAAGCCTGTCACCCCAAGGTACTTTAATGAGTTTCATCCTACAGTCATTCATTCATTTATTAAATATCTACTGAGCATCCCCTATGTGCTAGGCAATTTGTTACCTTGTCTCAATCCAGGGAAGTTTTCCCATATCCTGGACATCTCAGCTCCGTTAGTGACAGAGCTACAAAATTACTAAGTCAGGATCCTTGTCCTCACTGGTCATGATGGATCCTTTTCTCCATCACTCTCCATCAGCTTGAGGGATCCCTGGAGCAGGAAAAGAAGGTACGCATGGACCTGGAGCGAGCAAAGCGGAAGTTGGAGGGTGACCTGAAGCTGACCCAGGAGAGCATCATGGACCTGGAGAACGACAAGCAGCAACTGGATGAGCGGCTGAAAAAGTACCACATTCCCCTCCCTGCTAATTTTCCTCCTCCCTCACCCCACAAACTGTTTGCCTATGACTGTACAAATATTCACTCTTCATACATACAAAAAGACCGCATGCAGCCTTATATAAGGGAGTGCTTATCTATGGTTGAAGACCAGCAGAAACAGTGCTTCCTTTCAACAGACATGCACATCAGAGCCCAACAGTCTTCCCTGGCAACAGATCCCTCCATTACTTCCTTACTGCTGGGGCTCAGTAAGGACAGAAAATCCCAGCTGTCTCTGTATATTATACACAACTTTCTTTGGAGACCAGTTGCTAGAGAGAAAGAGAGCACGACTGTCCACTCAAGTCTCTCAGGAAAGCCCTTTACAGGTTTTCACGGAGATACTGACAAGCCCACGCTCGAGAAGTGGACCATTTCCACCACTGCCGCCTCTAACCTGTGATTTAAATTCTTATTGCAAGTCTTTTGTTTTTCCAAAATCTCTCTCTCTACTTTTTAGATGAGCTTATAGAATATATTCTGATAATCAGGTACTCTATGGGGCTCTGTAAATCAGGTACCATAAGGGTCGATACTTGGTAAAAGTCCAAAAATCATCATGTTCTACATCCTCACCATCTTGCATTTGTCCAGGAGTCATCACGCTTTCCTAGGCAAAGATTTGTTAAACTGGTAAATAAAGATATGGTTTAAGATCCATCTGAGCCTCAAACTGCCTTTTGGGGATGGTATTTTTAGTCTTTACCAAAAAGCAAAGTTACAAAGATTAATCAAACCTCCCCAAACAATAGACTAACAAAAATGAAAGACCATCAGAATGAAAAGGGATATTTAAAATTATCTAGACCAACTTCTCATTTTACAAGTGACTATAACAAAGACCAGAGGGAAAAGAATTTGCTCAAGTCCCACAGAGTCCAAGTCCCATCATTCCATCTATACGTCTCTTTCCTGTTACATTTCTTATTGGGCTTCAACCCATAACAGGTGTTACAATTTCAGGAATCCTACTTGAAGCTCTTTCTCTGATGATGTCGAGCTCTTCATATGTCTTATGATAACTTCCAGGTACTGACGGGTACTGCTGGAACCTAACCAGCTTCACTTGCCTGACCACCTCCCTTCTTACAGGAAGGATTTTGAACTGAATGCTCTCAACGCAAGGATAGAAGATGAGCAGGCCTTGGGTATCCAGTTACAGAAGAAGCTCAAAGAGCTTCAGGTAAGATCTAGAGGCCTAAACTCCCTGAGCTGATTCTCCACTTCCCTAACTTCCCGTCCTCCAGCATATCTTGTCCCTAGCTCTTTGAGAGACACACAACAACATTGGCGCACACAAGAAAGGTTGAGTTATCTAAGGATGGCATGGGAAGAGACCCTGAAGGTGCTACAGGCCTGGCAGATGGGCATCTTGCATTCCTGTCTAGACTTTATTTTAGCCCAGTGGAAACTCATGCCAGATCTCTGAGTCTCCAATCCTTCTCTGGTGTCTAGTGGCTTTTTAAGGTGTCTTCCAGCTGTGATGGTCTGTGACTTTGGTTCTTGTTTCTAGAATAGATAGAGTACTGAGTTTTTAGTTGCTGGTCAGAAAAACGCGGCTTTCTCATTTTAAGCTTTCACTATTTTGTCACAGCAAACTATTGACCCAAAGGAAGCCTAACTCAGTCATTCAAGTCCTTTTATTCCCACTCTTCACCAGTAGAACTAAACTGACTTGCTATTCAAGAAAGGCCAGGAGTCTCTTAGAGCTCCAAGGCAGGGTTCCAATGGAAGAACTATGGCTGGTGTACCTGAGTCTGTCATGTCCTGGCCCAGGCGCGCATTGAGGAACTGGAGGAGGAGCTGGAGGCTGAGAGGACAGCCCGGGCCAAGGTGGAGAAGCTGCGTTCGGAGCTGTCCCGAGAGCTGGAGGAGATCAGTGAGCGGCTGGAAGAGGCTGGTGGGGCCACATCCGTGCAGATCGAGATGAACAAGAAGCGTGAGGCTGAGTTCCAGAAAATGAGGCGAGACCTGGAGGAGGCCACACTGCAGCACGAAGCCACAGCCGCGGCCCTGCGCAAGAAGCACGCAGACAGTGTGGCCGAGCTGGGTGAGCAGATTGACAACCTGCAGCGGGTGAAGCAGAAGCTGGAGAAGGAGAAGAGTGAGTTCAAGCTGGAGCTGGATGACGTCACCTCCAACATGGAACAGATCATCAAGGCTAAGGTGCCTGCCCGCTCCACCTCTCCCAACTCCCAATTCTCTCCATCCTCCTCCGCTTTCTGTCCGTACCATTTATCTGATGGTTTTCATGTTACATTTCCCCTCCTCTTTGTAATACTCCTATTCTCTTCTTCATCTCACGATCCTTCCTCCTTTAATTGCACTCCTTAACCATTCTCATATTCCTATATTAATTAATGATTGATTAATTGATTGATTACTTAATTAATTCCTATATTAATTAATTATTCTCTCCAGGCTAACCTGGAGAAGATGTGTCGGACCCTGGAAGACCAGATGAATGAGCACCGAAGCAAGGCTGAGGAGACCCAGCGTTCTGTCAATGACCTCACCAGCCAGCGGGCCAAGCTACAAACTGAGAATGGTGAGCCTGGAGCTGAGGCCCTCTACACAAACTTCTTCTGAGCGCCTGAGTCATTCCAGGATTGACAGACTCATGAAATCATGCACACACAGAGTCTATCCAGAGAGCAAGGCCTGAAAATTAGGGGACGTTTGGGGTGGAGAAAAGTAACTGACCTTTAAGAATTGAGCCCTGGTGCCTCCCCAGGTGAGTTGTCCCGGCAACTGGATGAGAAGGAGGCGCTGATCTCCCAGCTGACCCGAGGCAAGCTTACGTACACTCAGCAGCTGGAGGACCTCAAGAGGCAGCTGGAGGAGGAGGTTAAGGTAAGACCTAGGCTCAGAACCCACAAAAGGAGCTTGCTGAATGACCTTGCATCTGAACCAATTTCTTCTCTCACAATGAGGCTTGTCATCTATGCATTATCTATTCAGAATTTCAAAGGAACAATGATAGCTTGAACTTCACTCCATGCCACCTATGTCTAGCCCCCTTTTGGTTAGCGAAAGGTTCAGGACAACCCTAATTCATCTAAGAAGAAAGACCTAATGGTTTGCCCTTTCTTCCTGGGAGAGGGGAATAAGAAAGGCCATGGAGTGAGGGCTCCTTGGAAGGAGTGAAGGTGAGATGGGAAAGGAAATAAAACAGGAATGTGGGAAAGACCTTTGCTGGATGTTAGGACGTCATGCAGGATTTCTATGCTAATGGCTCCTAGGATTATCAGGGAGATTTTAAAACTGAGGAAAAAGCAGAAACTACTCCTAGCACTGTGCTGAGTTCATGAAAAGATGGGAAGAATGTGAGGGAAATGGAAGGAATGGAGAATGTGAAAGAACAAAAACTGGTCCAGGCTCCATGTGGGAAATCATCCAACCTTTCTTCACCCCTGTCTCCTCCCCTGTAAAGAAGTAGTGATGATCATAAAAAGAGTATTTAGGACTCACTTTGTAAACAGTGTGACGCTGGAAAAACTAGAGAGATGGTTGGCGAAAGACAGGAAGATCTTCAGCGGAATGGGTTGGCACAGTGATGACCACAGCGGGCTGGAGCATGGCTGATGCTCAAGTGGATGTAATGCAGATCTGTTGGTCATACAGGGTGGCTGTGCATCTTGGTCATCCTTATGGCACCTAACAACAACAAATCAGCATTCCTGTTATTAGCACTCAGGTTTACTGACAATGCCAGGAGTCTCTGGGTGGTGTAAACAGTTCATATACTTGGCTGCAAACCAAAAAGTTGGCTGTTCAGGTTCACAGAGTGTCACCAAGGAAGAAAATGTAATGATTTAGTTCTAAGAAAGCAGTTCTTGAAAACCCTAGGGACACAGTTGTACTCTGACATGAGTTGCCATCAGCCATAGTTGACTTAACTTCATGGCAATGGTACATGGAATAAACCATTTCAGACCCATTGGGAATTTGGAAGTAGGTTAGGTGATGGGAGAAAAACTAGGGATTGAGAGAAGAGACAGGCAAAGACTGGAGTTACCTCATAGAGAATGCTGAACCTATCCATGGTACTCACCTCCCACCAGGCAAAGAATGCCTTAGCACATGCCCTGCAGTCAGCCCGGCATGACTGTGACCTGCTCCGGGAGCAATATGAAGAGGAGACAGAGGCCAAGGCAGAGCTGCAACGTGTGCTGTCCAAGGCCAACTCAGAGGTGGCCCAGTGGAGGACCAAATATGAGACAGATGCCATTCAGAGAACTGAAGAGCTCGAGGAAGCCAAGTGAGTCCTGGTGACTGCCTCGCTGAGCCCATGTCGGAAGGCATCAGCAGCCCTGTCCTCAGAAGCTTTGATGCAAGGGAGTCTTAGCTAGTTTGACGACACAGGAAGACCCTGCCCCGGCCCCACCTCCTTCTCCTCTCAGGGAAGCTTTTTGCTCGCGTTATGTTTCTCATCCGAATATAAGACGAACAAAAGGTTTGTCTGAGGGCAGAGTGCTCTTGCCCGGGGCAGGTGCTGTGGCTGGGGGAGATGCAGTGGGCTGTAGTGGGCCCACAGCCTAGAAGTTGGCACAGGGGTGCCACCTGGAAGCACTCTTTAGAGCTGTGGGTCTTCACATCCTGGCCCAAGAGCCTCAGCCAGCCCAGTTCCCAGCACATAAAACCTGTTCTCAGACTTCACTAATATTACTTTTGAGTTTCAAAATATCGTTTCCTATGGGATTCATGTTGATTCTCCTTGTCCCAAATCCACACACTCTACCCTCCCTACCCTCCATCCACCCTCCCCTGGGCAGGAAGAAGCTGGCCCAGAGACTACAGGATGCAGAGGAGGCTGTGGAGGCCGTCAATGCCAAGTGCTCATCATTGGAAAAGACCAAGCACCGGCTGCAGAACGAGATCGAAGACCTGATGGTGGATGTAGAGCGTTCCAACGCCGCTGCAGCAGCCCTGGACAAAAAGCAGAGGAACTTTGACAAGGTGGGCCGCCTGGGCAGGGGCCACACAGCCAGGGTGGAGGGCTAGAGGGAGGGAGTCTTGAGGTCAGAGACATCCTTCTTGCATGGAGGAAGAGTGAGAGCCATAGAGAGGAATGAGGAAGGCTGAGTCTACATGAAGGGAGTAGGTCAGCACCTGGAAGGACGCCCTGTGGTCAAGGGTTGGGGAGCAGGTCAGTGATTGGGTTCCCTGCACAGATCCTGGCTGAGTGGAAGCAGAAGTATGAGGAGTCACAGTCAGAGCTGGAGTCATCGCAGAAGGAGGCGCGCTCCCTCAGCACGGAGCTGTTCAAGCTCAAAAATGCCTATGAGGAGTCGCTGGAGCACCTGGAGACCTTCAAGCGGGAGAACAAGAACCTCCAAGGTGTGTGTGGGGGGCTGGGGACGGTCTTCAGTGGCAATGCCCCATGCAGTACCTCCCACTTCTCCAGAAAGGACCTGCATCAAGAGACTTCCCCCCCCCAAGTGAACCACAGAAGCCCCCACTGAGTCACCAACCCCTTCCCACAGAGGAGATCTCGGACCTGACTGAACAACTGGGCTCCAGTGGAAAGAGCATCCATGAGCTGGAGAAGGTCCGAAAGCAACTGGAGGCAGAGAAGCTGGAGCTGCAGTCAGCGTTGGAGGAAGCAGAGGTGTGTCTAGGGGTGAGGGCGGGGGTTGGAGAGGAGCTGAGCTTTGGTCTGGGGTTCCTGTTCTCATCTCCCTTTCGGATGCTTTGTTTATTCTAGTAACCCTAGGCACACAGGCACTCAACACATATCTGGGGAATAAGTGAATGAACAGGTCCTTAAACTCCCTTCATGCAAACATTTCACATGTTCTAGCTTAGCCAGTTATTCCCGGTTCCATTTTACCTCCCCTTTTCCACCTCTGCCTCCTACTCTGTTTTTCACATCCTGTGCCTGATTGCCTCTGTTTCCTTGGCAACACCTTTCTCCTCATTTTCCTCTTCGTCTTCACAGTTGGTTCTCCCCTATGAGTGCCTGAATCACCTTTTTTCTGAAGCTTGTTTTTATTTTTGTTACCCCTTTAAATTAGTTTTCCTTCTCTCTCCTTTACCTTCTCTAGTTGAACCCCTTACACCTCTCTTGAACTCATTTTGTACCCATAAGTCATGGACAGATCATAACCCCTGCCCCAGAGTCCTGACTGTCTGCCTTGGACCCTCTCCTTCCACCCCATCACCAGGCCTCTCTGGAGCATGAAGAGGGCAAGATCCTGAGGGCCCAGCTGGAGTTCAACCAGATCAAGGCAGAGATAGAGCGGAAGCTGGCCGAGAAGGACGAGGAGATGGAGCAGGCCAAGCGCAACCACCTGCGCGTGGTGGACTCGCTGCAGACCTCCCTGGACGCAGAGACACGCAGCCGCAATGAGGCTCTGCGGGTGAAGAAGAAGATGGAGGGAGACCTCAATGAGATGGAGATCCAGCTCAGCCATGCCAACCGCATGGCTGCTGAGGCCCAGAAGCAAGTCAAGAGTCTTCAGAGCTTGCTGAAGGTACATGGGGACTCTTGGAAACCACTTCACCCAGGGAGGGTGCTGGCCTTTGTGTGGCCACGTTAGGGGTTTCCCATTGCTGGCACCAGATACACTTGCCTCTGGACTGTAGCAGAGACCTACGCATGTCCTTCATGAAACACTGCAGTGGGTTCTCTTTCAGCATCCAGTTTCAAGTAAAGTTTCTCATGAATGCAGAGGCCAGTTATCACACTCATTCTCCTGATTCTCAGGACACCCAGATTCAACTGGATGATGCAGTGCGTGCCAACGACGACCTGAAGGAGAACATTGCCATCGTGGAGCGGCGCAACAATCTGCTGCAGGCTGAGCTGGAGGAGCTGCGGGCCGTGGTGGAGCAGACAGAGCGGTCTCGGAAGCTGGCCGAGCAGGAGCTGATCGAGACCAGTGAGCGGGTGCAGTTGCTGCACTCTCAGGTGAGTGGCTCCCCAGACACTAGAGGGACTGCAGGCCAGAAGAAGCCAGAAAATCAGGGATGGAAGCCATTCATGGAGGCCATTCAGTGGTTTTCTTGCTCTGTCCACCCTTCATTTTCAGAACACCAGCCTCATCAACCAAAAGAAGAAAATGGATGCAGACTTGTCCCAGCTCCAGACGGAAGTGGAGGAGGCAGTGCAGGAGTGCAGGAACGCTGAGGAGAAGGCCAAGAAGGCCATCACAGATGTGAGTCTGGTGGAGTAGCCTTCCCCTCTGCCCTCCCAGCATCTTTTGTCTTCTGGGCTAAGCAGTGAGTGTGTGAGAACTTAAACAGACCATGTGTGGCCCTATCTCCGGGCCTACAGGCTGCCATGATGGCAGAAGAGCTGAAGAAGGAGCAGGACACGAGTGCCCACCTGGAACGCATGAAGAAGAACATGGAGCAGACCATCAAGGACCTGCAGCACCGGCTGGATGAGGCAGAGCAGATTGCCCTCAAGGGTGGCAAGAAACAGCTGCAAAAACTGGAGGCCCGTGTGCGGGAGCTGGAGAACGAGCTGGAGGCCGAGCAGAAGCGCAATGCAGAGTCGGTCAAGGGCATGAGGAAGAGTGAGCGCCGTATCAAGGAGCTCACCTACCAGGTGTGGGCAGGGCAGGTGCTCTGGGTCCAGGGATAATGGCCCCAGGAATAAAGTGATTTCTGTTAGCCTCCTCTAGGGTGAGGATTGGGTGTGCAGTACCTGAAAGCCTTTGCTTCCACTCTACCTAGTCCTGCCCTACCTCCCCTGGTTAGCCACAGTCAGTCTCTGAGTCTCTTAGACTAGAAACTTCACTTGAAGGGCTAGAAAATCTGCTGCCTTGGAAATACATTTGGAGATCCAAGTAAGACTCAACCAGCATAGATTAGAAGAAACAAATACGTAACCAGTCTTTGGCCTGGTGACATCTCTTCTTAAATATACCAAAGTCATTTATTTGTTAAAAACAAATCCTAAACTTGTTCAGTTACCTAGGTAGAAGAAGAAAACTTCCTACTCTGTTTTCTAGAAGGTGGAAATTTCCAATTTTGCTTTGTAGGATAAGGCACTCCATTCACTAGATTTTGCTTCTGCTCCAATCAGTATTGGCACCATTTAAGCACAGTGTGTCCTTAACTTAGATCAAACCTGTCATTTCCATTACAGCTTAGCAAATTCTATCATGGTCATGGTCCCAGTTACTTCCAAGCACCAGATACAGGCCTCTGGAGCAAAGGAATATATACGCTCCATGAGGTCCCATGTCCTGAAGGGCAAGCTCCCAAAAACAGTGCACACACAATTTTGTACACAATCTCAGGCAACATATCAACTCCTTGGACTTCTCCTGGCACAAATAATTTAAAATAATTGTACTTTTCGAGTAAAAACTATAAGGAGAATTCTTGAGGTTAGTGAGGATCAGAAACCAGAAGTGGGTCAAAATATTAAATTCAGGGAAAATAAGACAAGATATTGGGGTGGGGTGGGGTGCTGCCTCCTCTGACTGTGTTATCTCCACTCCTGACCACCCCCTGGCATCTAGACGGAGGAGGACAGAAAGAACCTACTGCGGCTGCAGGACCTAGTGGACAAGCTGCAGTTGAAGGTCAAGGCCTACAAGCGCCAGGCTGAGGAAGCAGTGAGTGCCCCTGCTGGGACTGGGTCTGTAAGATGGACACAGGAAAGAACGTTCTCCATCCTGGGAGGCTGAGAACCTCACAGCCCCCCTTACTTAATTTTCCCACTCTACCCCCCACAGGAGGAGCAGGCCAACACCAACCTGTCCAAGTTCCGCAAGGTGCAGCATGAGCTGGACGAGGCAGAGGAGCGGGCAGACATAGCCGAGTCCCAGGTCAACAAGCTTCGGGCCAAGAGCCGCGACATCGGCACCAAGGTGGGTTCCTTTCCAGGCTTGACTGATTGTCCTCCCAGCAGGTGCTCGCTCACTCTGCTCACGGGCCCCCTACACAGAGGACTCTCACACCAAAGATGATGTCAATGTCTCCTTCTTTTTAATCTCCCACTCTGAAGCATAAAGTCCTGGTCTGTTGAGTTCTTCTTTCCTGAAACTCATTGCCACTGACTTGGGCAAAGTAATTAAAACTTCTGGGCTCTCCAAGCATCTTCCAGTGCTAATGTTCTGCTACACCCCAGAAAGACTGGTAATCCTAAAAGACTGCTATTTATTTGTTTTTATTTTTTTTAAGATCACTCTTTATATCTATTGTTATGTACCATTGAGTGAGAGCCAACTCTGACTCATAGTTGACCCTCCAGGAAGTTTTTAGAGGCAATAAATCACAAAGAAGGAGATTTCCCATCTTTCTCCTGTAGAACAGCTGGTGGACTTGAATCATGTACCTTTGGGTTGGCAGTGCAACTCCTTACCACTAAGCCATCAGAGCTCCCTTTTATTTATACCTAGTATGCCCAGATTCCATGCCCCCATCTCAATGTCATTTTCCACTTCTCTTCTACCTAACTTGTCCTGTGACCTTGTAACTCGAATCCACGATTCACATTATTGGGAAATCCTTTGTCTTCACTCATCTGGCTTCCTTCTATCAGGGTTCTACCCTCCAGAACCAGCCCCTCCGTGTATCCCTTCCATACCAATCCCTTGGAAGCCATCCTCCACCTCATCTCATGTTCCACTTTCCCTTTTGCTTTCTGAGCTCCATCTCTACCCAGCTCATACAGCTCCATAATTAAATTTGACTTTGTTTCCTTTCAAAGGGCTTGAATGAAGAATAATTTTGCTACATCTTCTCAATATACCCAGCCCTGCGGGTGCCAATGGGGCCCCCAGTTCCAGATTCTTCTATAGCAACTCCTTTGGAGGAAACAGAATAAAGCTACTTTCTTGAAGTCACACTCTTGCCTTCAGACTCTTCTTCCCTGTCTGCTAGTCATGGGGATGTGGGATGTGGGGGAAGTGGGGCTCTAACTTCAAACACCAGGCTAGGAGGCCTCCCTTCAGGAGCCTGTGAGGATCTGAACACAGCTAGAACAACTCTAACCCAGAAGGATCCCCCTTTACCTCCTCAGATGGAAATGGAATAGAGAGAGAGGTAGCACCTCTCCTCCCCACCCCACCCCTCCTCTGCATGAAGCCCTCAGTTGAAGGAGATTTAGGAAACCTTAAAGGTCATCTAGAGCACCCTGAGCACATCTTCTATGATCCTACAGTCCCAACTTGGATCAATACCATCCACCACCACTGATAAAACTAGGGCTGAAATTATGGATGTTTAGTGTGTATCCTCTGAGGTATAATCATCTCCTTGGGAAGTTAAGATAACTGCCCAAGGCAAGTCTGTGAGAAGACACAAGGACCTACTCTTCCAAACAAAGGCACCCAAATCTCTCAAACACCCCCAAAGGTCTGCCCCTCATACATACACACATACCAAAACACATACCATCTTCAGCATATCTCTTCCTTCACATACCCTCTGGGGTTTAGCCCCTTCAGCCCGATATATTCTTTATTTCCCCTTCATTTCTCTCACTGCCATCTGCATTCCCTCCTCTTCGGTACTGACTGAAAGGTGAGGGTTCTTTGACCCCTTTATTGATGCTGTCTTGAGGAGAAGCAAATCAGGGAAGGGACTAGAGAGTCATGTGTGAGCAAGACTCCAGGGCAAGAAAGAGAAAGGAAGGATCCCTGTAAAGCCCTCCTTCTATTATTCAGGTCCAGCACTCCAAATTCCTCAGCCTAGACCCTCGTATTAGTAACACCAAAGGGGGGTGTGGGGAAGAGCTAGACTTCTTAGAATAGGCCTGGGGTTTAGACTTCAGCTTGGGAGGCAATGAGACTAACAGTCTTCTGCTTGGAATCTAGGAAGTCCTGGTTCAGTCCTGAACAGAATCTCCCCTCAACCCACCACACAATCCCTCAACACAGCTCCTGTCACACAGTCCTCACTGGGCTTTGAATGCAGTAGCCAGAGTAAGACCCCATCTGAGGAAGGAGAGGGTTACAGTATTAGAGAATAGAAGAGGGGAGAGAAACAGAGGATGGAAGGAAAAAGAAAGACCTGGTGAGGGTGGCAGTAGAAAGAAAAGCGATCCAGAAACTCAGGGGCAGGGTCACTAGAGGAAAACAAGATGACAGAATGAAGACGACTTAGGAAGGTCACATTTTTCTTTGTACTTCTCCACTTTTTCTCCCCTGAACCATTCCTCTCCCTAGAAAGAGATTGGGGAGCACTAGAGAGATAGAGGAAAGAGAGATATGTGCTAGACAAAGACAGCTGTAGAGGAAACTCAGGATGGTGAGAGAAAGAACGTAGACCGGACAGTAAAAAGCAGGGCTCAAGAGAGGTCTAATAACAGTGCCTCTAAATTCCAAAATCAATCTCCATAATAGTCTGTGTGTTTCCTATTGCCAAAGGGGCCCTTTAGAGTAGTGAGAGAAGATCTTCACCCTGAAACCTACAGCGTCCCTTTCCCCAAGAAGTAGCTAAGAGAATATGCTGTCCCCTTTTCATTATGAATCAGGGTGAAGTCTCTCTCAGGTAGGAGTGATAGGGAATGGCAAAGGACACACTGACAAAGGAGATTAATCAGAACTGGCTTTGACATGCACTGTGGCAATTGGACAATTAAAACAGACTTTCAAGGGGGGAAAATAAGAAGAACGAACTGGGGAGGAGGGTAGAGAAAATAGTGCAACAATGAATGGATGAATGAAAACCCCAAATCTCTGTAAATGTTCATTAAAATTAATAAAATTTAATTTAAAAAAGAGAGGTCTAGAGGATGAGTTAAACTGAGAAGGGACAGGAGAGGAGCAAATGAGGATGAATTTGAAACCTGAAGAGTGAAGAAGACCTCACCGGACAAAGGGAAGAATCCCCAGTCAACGTAAATGGAAAGGGAGTTAGGAAGCCAAAAAAGCAGTGAGATTAGAAAAGGTAGTCAGAGACCTGGAGCAAGAGCTGGACTCCTAGAATAGGTCTGGGTTTGGGGCTTTACCTTGGGAGGCAATGGGACTAATAGTCTTCTGCTAAGAATCTAGGAAGTCCTGCTTCAGTCCTGAACTGAACCTCCCCTCAACCCACCACAAAATTCCTCAACCCAGCTCCTGCCACACAGTCCCCACTGGGCTCTGAATGCAGTAGCCAGAGTAAGACCCCATCTGAGGAAGGAGAGGGTGACAGTATTAGAAAATAGAAGAGGGAAGAGAAACAGAAGTTGGAAGGAAAAAGAAAGACCTGGGGAGGGTGGTAAAGACCAAGAAAGATGAGAGGTTCAGAGAAAGGACTCTGGAAATGAAACCAGCTCAGACCCCGCGATGGGCAGAGACATGGACATCAGGAGAAATAAAGATCGAGTGAGACTTTGAAATGAGGAACCAGTCAGAGACAATGGAAAATCAGACAGAAAGAGGTATAGAGAAAGACTAAAGGAAGGAGGGCAGGAGACCCCCATTCATTGCCCTCACCTGTGGCTGGAGTCTTGGCATCTTGTTGTTCACACTCCAGGGCTTCCTGCATGAGGAGAAGGTGGCTGGTGGGGCAGCTGAGGAGGAGAATAGAAATGTGAGTGCCAGGGTAAAGGAGAGGGCCCTGGGAAGGAAAGAGGAGAGCAAATCAGACCAGACCAGGGGGCAGAGCCTCTGGTCCAAGTTACCTCCTTCCTCCCTTCTCTCTCCAAGGAGGCAGTGGGGATGGCCTGCTCACCCCTGATTGCCCACCCAACCTGTACTGAGTCTGGTCAGCTCAGAACACAAGTTTCTCTGAGGACAAAGCCTGGCCTTTGTCACCTGGACCTGACCGAGCCTGACCTGGTGTTCTCAGTTCCTTATCACATCCCTGGGGAGATAGGAAACAGCCAATGACGCACTGGGCCATGGTCTAACCCCTCAGCTTGCACACTGGGACCTCGAGTGACCTAAGGCTGGGGACAGGTGGCCTGCATCCCTTGGGGAGTAACAGTTTGGCATATATACCTATGTATGGGGTCCACTCCCAGATTTCTGTGAAGATTTCTTCAAGGGCACTGGATATAGGGCCAAGTCTTCTAGGAGAGAATATATGTCTTTCAGAATCCAGCAAAGGGACAGTGGATGGGCCTAGGGGACCTTGGTAGAGAAGCCACATCTTCATTGGAAAGCTGTCCTACCCAGATGAGCTGACCCCTGTCCGTCCTACCCACCTTCACACCCTAGAGCTATATTGAGAGGTGACAGTAGATGAGATTGTGAGGGGAAAGCTGGAGAGTGTTCCCGGTGTGTGGGTGCAGGGGGAAGGCAGAGCAGGGGAGTCTGGCTTTGTTCCCTGAACACAATGTCCACTTAGTCAGAATAGGCATAAAGATCTGACTGACACCTACAGCTTCTGAGAGGTGGCTCTGTCAGAGGATAGGGAGGGGACCTGGAGGACCTGGGGCACTCAGGGACATCATGAAGAAGGGGTTGTAAGCATGAGTCCCAGGATGACTGGGAGGGAACACAGAGTTGTATCTGGGGAGGGGTGATGGAACCCCAGCCCCACGCCTACAGAATGCAGAGCCTAAAGTCCAACTGGTGTAAATCCCCAGGCCTGCCTGGCGCCCCAGCCATCCTCAGAGGCACCTGCACCATCTGGCAGGCCAGAGGGGCAGAAGGGAGCAGCCCCCCATTCCACTCCAGCCCCTCCCTCAGGCCCTGGGATTAACACCTCCTGCCTCTCCCCTGCTGTCTCTGTTCATCCCATTCTAGGAGCAGAGGTGACAGTGGGAGGTTAAAAGCCTGTATGAGTGTGCAAATGTGTGCATTACTGTGCATAAGCACAAGTAAACAATCTGTAAGGGTAAGTGTAAGTGTAAAAAATTCTCAGACATGAAAGTGTGGCTGTGTGAAGACATGTCTACATCTGAGAGTACTGGACTGTGGACAGTGCAGATCTGATCACTGTGATCTGGGAGAGTTCCTTCCACTATTTGGGATGCTGAATGACAGCGACAACCTCAAAAGCATCATGGAAGGTTCTGGGGCTCCAGATATGTCCTCAAAGTCAGGAAGCCTCATGTCCTAGAAAGGACACTTGCCTGGAGACTTGGAGAATAGAAGAACTCTAGATAGAACATTTGTGGAGAGTGAAGGCACCACCAAATTTTTTTTTTCCTGACAAAGGAAACAAAGGACTGGACAAAGATCTTTTCCCTGGGCCCCCAACCTCCAGTCCCCAGTCCCCAGCATGGTAGGACTCGTGGACAGGGACATGTTCCTAGCTTGGGGCTGTGTAAGGACAGAGGGAAGTGGGAGAAGAAGGGGAAGAAGAGAGGGAATCCTGTGACTGGGAAACGGGGGACACACATTTGGCTTGCAGAATAAGATGACCCTCACCCAGTGTGCTCAATTCACCCTTCAAGTTAAAAATAACCGAGGTAAGGGCCATGGAGGGGCGGGGAGGTGGTGAGAGAAAGTCCTGTCTTCTCCCCTATCTGCCCATCGGCACTTTGGAGGGGAGGAATGTGCCCAAGGACTAAAAAAAGGCCCTGGAGCCGGAGGGGCTGGGGTGACGGGCCTTTCATGGGCAAATCTGGGGGCCCTGCTGTCCTCTTGTCACCTCTAGAGCCAAGGGATCAAGGGAGGAGGAGCTGGGGAGGCAGAGAAGAGGTGGGAGGCAGGGTCCCTCCGGAAGGACTCCAAATTTAGGCAGGGGGTGGAGGAAGTGGCTTATAAAGGCCCTGGGAGCGTTGAGGTCAGACGGAGACTCTTCTGACCCAGGTAAGAGGGTGTTGGGTGGGATATTTGTGGTCAGCCCCAGAGTCGACTTCTCCAGGAGTGGGGTGCAGGCTGACTGGGGACATTCCCACTGGTGGAGAAGAGGCTCCAGGGATCAAACAGAAACTTCTGTTCGTCTCAGACTCTGCATTTCATTCCCTGCAACTTGCCACCTCCAGCTTTCTGTGTCTTCCTACACATCATCTCCATCTCCCCCTGCCCCATTTTGGAAAACTGACAATAGCTTTTGTCCTGGTATTACTTTCCCTCTCCATCTTTGTCCGTGCCTGTCGTGTCATGCTTCTCTGCCTGTCAGAACCCCTTGGCCTTTCCTTTCCTCTTGGCTATGTATCTCACGCCTCTTGCTCATTTCAATTTCCAACTCTTTCTCCACATTCCGAAGCTCACACTTGTGCTAACTCTGCATCCTGTGTTTCCTGCCTCTTCTCTCTTAACTCTATATTCTGCTCTGCTGTGCATCTGTATCCGGCTCACTCTCCTCTCCGTCTCCTCCCTGCTGGCATTCATTCTACTTGTCTCTCTCTCTCTGCCCAGCTGTTCTCTGTGATTTCTTGCTCCTTCCGTGGTCCAGCTTCTTCAGGACTCTGAAGAGATAAGCAGGTGGGAACCACCTTGATTTCCCCCTCCAGACAGCAGACATCTCCTGGGATCCAGACTGTCGCACAAAGGGCTCACTTTCTCTCCGCTGGGCAGCTCTTAACAAATTCCATGCCCCTGCAAAACCTCCTTATAAAGATGCTCCTTCAGCATCTCCTCAGAGGACAAAGGATTTAGGAACTTTGATCAAGGGAGGGCTGGACCCAAGCTAGGTACTTCTAGGGTTGGGGGGGTGGGGGTGGGGAGACAACACAACCTAAGTAGCAGAAGTAGACAGAGAAGAGGGAACAATGGGTCCACCTCAGAGTGACAGATCCCTCTTGTCTTGATCCCACAGCGGTAAGATGACTGACGCCCAGATGGCTGACTTTGGGGCGGCAGCCCAGTATCTGCGCAAATCAGAGAAGGAACGTCTGGAGGCCCAGACCCGGCCCTTCGACATCCGCACTGAGTGCTTTGTGCCAGACGACAAGGAGGAGTTTGTCAAGGCCAAGATCGTGTCCCGGGAGGGTGGCAAAGTCACCGCAGAAACTGAGAATGGCAAGGTATGTGGGCACAGAGCCAGGGGAAGGGGAGACAAGATTCCGGGAGAAAGGTACAAGGATACAGCTACCTGTAACGGGAGCTGAGGGCCCAACCACCACAGGCAGCAGAAGGCTGAGGAGCCCTGGAGAAGAGCCAAGGCAAATGGAAAAGTCCCACCAGGGAGCTCAGGATCTCTAGTGAGGACATTCCTCAATAGACCTGAGTGGGGGGCCGTGATACCACCCAGAGATGCTTCCCTCTTGCCATCTCTTAGTCTTGTAGATAGAGAAGCCAGGTACAGTATTGGGTGAAGCTCCTCATCTTGAGCTTGAGTCCCTCCTCTCTTCCTCCAACGGTGGCTTCCTCTATGGGCCCACTCTTTCAAACCCCCCTCCCACAAATCAAGAGCAAGCTCTCAGGCTCAGATGAAGAAGGAGAATGGGAATATTTGGCTGAACGCTCAGTCCTGGGGCCGGTGATGACTGACACTCAGAATCCCCTGCTCCGTGGGTTGATCATGCTGGTTGTGAGAATGGCCGCTGCTCATCAGCTGTGGCTTAGGAAGTGTGCGTCACAGACTCACTCACTGACCTTTGTGCCCCATCGAGGTGTGGAATAACAGGCCACAACCCACCAGGGGCTTTAGCTGTGATCCCGGCTCTGCCACTGCAAATCTCTTAGAACCACAGCTTCCTCCTGCATAGAATGGATGCTGGAACACTGACACGCAGGATCAAATGACAGCAAGAAATGGCAAACTGACCAGTGCCAATCAACCCACACCCACAGTGACCCATCAAGGTGGTAGGGTGGATGAGTGAGGGTTTTTTCCTAGTAGGAGCAGGGGTTTGCCCTGAGCAACTGACACTCTCCAACATGATCCCCTTGTGAACAAAAGCATTCCCCATGAGCTGTTCTCAGGATCAAGAGTGACATGTGTGCAGAGATCTAAGAGCATCCCTCCAAGTATGCTCCTAGAACCTGGAAGCATAGGGACTGAAGATGATTATGTGTCCTGGCAAGAGAAAGGGACAGAGGATAGTCTTTAAGAGGAAAGAAGCACCAAGCAGGCACATTACCAGGGGTAAGGTATCCCAGAGAGTGTGAAGTGTAAAGAAGGGGGCTGGAGCGAGTGTTCTAGAGGAAAGTTGAAGGCCAACTCCTGGCCTGTCTTCTTAGAGATGAGTGTGTGAGGCAAGCAGAGCACAGGCTGCCAGGGACTCTCTCTCTCTCTCTCTCTCTCTCTCTCTCTCTCTCTGATTACCCCTGCCCAATTGCCTATGCTGCCACCTCAGACAGTGACAGTGAAGGAGGACCAGGTGATGCAACAGAACCCGCCCAAGTTTGACAAGATCGAGGACATGGCCATGCTGACCTTCCTGCATGAGCCCGC